CAGGGACGGTACATCATTCGAAACATCTCAAGATTTTCTTGCTTAAAAGATTGTACATATCATGAAATATGTATTTGATTTTCACTGAAATTTCAAATGCTTTATAAAGTTCGTTGTTTAATGAAATTTATATAAGATAGATAAGCGAAATCTGACGAATAACGAGGAACGAATGTCGGCGTAAAGTTTGTTATAATATTTCAACTAAAAAAAAAAAAAAAAAAAATTTGCACTGTATATAAAAATCAGACGCAATTCAATGTTTCGTAATATTGATAAAAAATAATGCAAGAAGATACTGCATTCCGAAATCATGTCACGTTACGTAGTCTTCGGCGGAGAATTTCGAAATAATTTCTCAAATCGAATTCATGCGGAACAGCGGAGGGCGACGAACTGTCGTTGGACGTAAACGAATTTCATCGGGGGAAAGCTACGAGTGGAGCCAAAATGAAAGCATAGTTTTCCTTGCAACTGACAAACCGGCATGCAAACTACACTTGCTCGAATTCTATCTAACACACACACGTGGCAAACGTATCATAAACTAGAGAATAATCGGGACGATTATGTCTTGCGAGCTTCGATCTTTCAGCAACTGACTATAACAATTTCAATCGCGATTTTTAACAAATATCGCGTGTCGCCTCGATGACGACAAAACTTGACTTTAAAACCGATTGCAGAACATTTCCTCGTCTCATTGACGTCAGTACGAGCGGCGCTCCTCGTTAAAGTTAAATGAAAAGAAGAGAAAAAAAAATACGATGAAGATATGAAACGAACAGTAGGGAATTCACTCAACGGTGGATGTTTTGATCGACTGTTCGTGGGAATGTGGTGCGCTGCGAGTGTAACAGAAAAATGTGTCTGTCTCGCCGTTATACTCACGATAAGTATGTGTATACATGAGTCGCGCGCATACTGCATGGTCAAAATGAGGAGAGAAAGAGGGGAGAGACAGTCTAGAGACCTTGCATACAGGCCGTTTCTAAAATAGATGATCAAACTTTAAAAGCATACAGTGTGTCGAAGGTATCAATTCTCATCAATATTTTTGAGTGATAGATTTATGACAAAAAAAAAAGTTCTTCGAAAATTTATTAATTATAAAAAAAATATTAACAACATGAAAAAATATTCTTTTTTTAAAATCTTATTTATATGCTATTGTCCATTTAACGTGTTATACATTTTGAAGTTTCGCAAACATTCCAATTACACTATCTGTTATACTGAGAACTGACGCACATTTAAGTATTCCCACATTGTGACATTCAGAATTTTTTTTCATTGTATATTTACACGCAAATATTTACACTTGGATGCAAGTTGCAGTAAAATCATTTAACTGTACATTCGAAGAATATTTCTATAAATATCTGTGATAATCGAGCAAAAATTGAAAATATTTTTTTCCAACATGACATCTAACTCAATCGGTAATGCATTTTCTTCAAAATCAATCTTATGTCAAATGTCCTAAAAAACTTTGATGCAAAATGAAAGGAAACAGAAATAAGTGCTCTACTTATTGGAATTCATTGCTCATTTTAAATTCATAAGGATAGATAGAAAATTGAAAATATGAAAATACAATGCCAGAAAGAGTAAAATTTAATCAGTATTTCATAGATGTGTCGGGTTAGTCTCTTAGAGAATTCAAGGAAAACTAACAAAGTCGTGATTCTGACTAGTTGATTAGCATTCCCTGTGAAAACACTACGAACTGAAGATATTCTTAGCTTGTCAAAGTAATGCAGTAATTATATTTTTAAACTAAAGAAGACGATTTAAAAAAAAAGCTGGTATTAAGCAGACTAAGTGATCTTAGAATTCCTCACTAGATGACTTACGATATGTGAAGAAATTAATTGCAACCACAAAGACAAAAGCGTATATAAATTTCAACGTGGCCAGTCGACCAATGTGTTAATAAAGACCAATGTCCTGATTTCAAAGTATCATGAAGACAAGTAGAACAATGCGAGGGAATCAATATGTGTGCACTGTTAGATTAGTATATATCCACGAGCACGTTTA